TTCAGTAATACTTTCCTATGATAAAAGCAAAATGGAAAAGTTACAACTCTTTTTAAAGCTGTAAATAATGTAAAATACTTTGCAAAAGTTATAACAGTATTTTTCAACAGACCATAGCATCAAGTATGTTCATGTATCCGAATATTTTACTGTACTAAGATCAACTAAGACATTCATATATTATAAAAATTAGGGCTGTAGTAAAATGCTTGAAATGAAGCTTGTAGAAAAAAGTTTATGTGTTTTTTATATCTCAATCCAGATAGAAACTTCTTTCATTTTTAAACTCAGATGATAAAAAGTTATTTTAAAAAATAATAATGTACTGCTTTCCAGGGCAAATATTTCCATCTGCTTCATATTCAGAAGGCAAAAGTGAGGGGAAAAAGAATGAATACTTTATTCCACATTAAGACAGACACTGTGCTTCATCTTGCCCAGATGAAACAGTATTAATAACACATTTCTATTTACATTTAAGACTATAATTGCACATCAATATAAATTTAATCTTACATAAAAATTTAGAAGTACCAGGTTTGATCAGTGTGAAATAAAGTTATAGCTAGATTGATGCTCTGTGCAGCATTTTATTTTAATTTTCTCTTTAAGAGTTATATTATTATATTAAAGCATATAAAATTTGCAGTCAGCAGAGCAAGCTTCAATCATTTTAGTTAATTGGCAACTTTGGTGGAACGTGAAACATCACCCTTTCCTAGTAGTTTCATTTTAAACAAATCATGCTCACATATAAAAATAGCAAATTGCATTAAATTTTATATAAGACATTTTACAGCTTCTCGTGTAGAAACAGCTATAAGCAGCTTTCTTTCATGGCATATACCAGAACAAACAGCTTTGAGTCAACTCTCTGGCAAGACACCATTCAAAGAGACATGAGGTATAGGCTGTGTCGGCTTAATTCTTAGAACACACCATACCAATTTGCAGGCTTACAGAAACACTAAAAGCAAAAACTGTCCCAAAGATAGAGTGGTGAGATCTGATATTCTTTTTTTTTTTTTTTTTTTTTTTTTTTGCCTCTAGGTCAAAAAATAAAGAATTGGCATGTTTCTGCCATTTCTGACTATTTAATGTTTACACAAAGTCTTAATTCTAAAACTCTGGTAATACACCGGCTACTCACATTTTCCAAAATGAAGTAGAAGTGACAGCAGCGACTAGAGTCTCTTAGACAAGACGCTAAAGATTGCTATTTTTATTCAACAATTGACTATTCTTAGATATTATGATTTTTAAACTCAAGCTTAGAGTCTAAAGATGCTTTTTGTCTATCTTGTCACGAAGTTACCTTTAAAATCTTTGAAAGAATGCATTAATGTGGTGGCCACATTTTTAACAAACATGTTCCTGGGTTTTGACACAGAAGTGCCTGGCAGTTCGACTGCACATCCTTGTTCTGAAAGTAGTGAGAGTTTTCAAAAGTCAATTATTTTCTTTCTTTCCGTATGAGGAAAGTTCCAGGGAGGGAAAATAGTCCTGAAAATGGGCACATTTTTCTCCTTGGATATGTACATCCTATGTTCACAGCAAAATAACAGATCAAGTAACAAGCCAGAATAACAGGTCAGTTTTGGAAAGCAAGCAGCCCCACTCTGGGGTCTGAAGCAGCACAGTGCAGGTGTTTTGTTTTTCCTTAAATGCAACTGACTGTGTCACAGAGGTTAAAAAAAAAGTCTTGAAGAAAGACACACATATCACAGTAATGATGGTTATACCTTCAGACAGTTTCCTGCTATCTAAATTCCTATATTTTCATATCATGTAATACCTCAAATCACTGCTCAGAGAACTTACATATTTTCATTAGGTAACACTATCCCAGTCATTCAGAATAAGAGTCAAGTCCTCTAAAACTCATAGCTTAGAAGGAACTGATTTTTTTGTTTTTCTTCTTTGGGGAAAAAGTTAATTAGGCTGTTAAATACAACTGACAAAAGTATTTTCCTCTTCTCCAGTTACGAACAATTATCTGGTGTAGGAAAATACCAATAACCAATAATTTATAAGCATGGATAATGTTTCCTTTTGCATTTTCTATTTTCTTTCTTAGGTAGCTAGTGACTCTGAGGGATGATACAAATATGTAACTTATCTGTGGCTTTTCTTTTGTTAATCTAACAAAATCATGTAATACCCAAAGTTAAAAAATGTAACTATTTTGAAGCAAAATTTAAGTGGTTAAATATTGGCTGTGAAAAATGCAAAAAGAATATATATTGAACAAAGAGGGAAATAAGAAAAGTAATTTTTGAGGCTTAGCAAAATTAATCCAGAAGAGTATTTGTTCACGAATCACATTACAAATATTCATACAATAAAATAAACTTTCTTAATAGCCACAGAGTCTTAATTCTGAAATTTTGATTATGCATGGACTACTTTGTGCATATTTCTGTAAGCAAGTTTAAAAGCAATGGCTAGAGTCCAAAATCTCGTTACTTAATGATATTCTTCCCCTATTCTTACCCATGTCAGTCATTGTTTCAAATTCTATCTTCCACATATTAGGCATCCAATAAACATTTGTGAATGGCTATATCCAATCAAAGACTTTGATCTATGAATAAATTTGTTTTTAAATACAGGATCCAATTATTTAAATTTCTTAGAGGCACAGCTATACAATGTCATAGAGACCTATGTTTTTCACATAAAACATACCACATCTGTGGCATATTCTACACCCTATAACACAGCATTTTATGCACATACCAGTTCTCCATGTCACATTGACACTTTCTGTGTTGACGAAATTGCCCAAGTCACATTACACAGCAAACCTTCAGCTTAAATAAGGAATAAGCTTGCTGTTAACAACCTAATCTGAGATGTTAACAATCCTTGGTCTGTTAATGTAACAACTGGTCATTAATGTGGTAATGACCAATTTAAGAGGAAATTGTTCTCTGAGAAATGAATATATTGGTGATGAGGACCATATCTGAAAGAGTAAGATGTATGTATACTAAGTTACCTGACATTAAAATGAAAACCTAGCAGAAATGGAAACCTTTATCACAGAGAGTAACATGCATTTTGTTTTTTTAAAAAGATGAAGACTTCAGATACAGAAACTATTTTGATAAATTCCCTTGGATGAGATATTTAATTGGGATGATCAAATGCTAGGTTAACACCATATTCTATTTGCTATCACAAGGAATAATAAAATAAAACAAATCTAAGGTTACTTTCTCTGCTGTCAACACATTGAAAATGCATAACTATTTTACCCATGAAACAGGCAAACTCAACATTTTTAATTCAGAAATACCCCAAACATCCAAACACAATCTTTACACTTTTCTTAATGTTTATCTTTTTTACTTATTAAAATGCCTACTCCAGTTCAAACTGTATAAACTCCCTGTTTGCCACTGCAACCTAAACCCACTTGATATACTGAAATTGTGCCTAAATGTAAGTCAAAAGGAGTCGAAAAGCTGTGGGCACCAGTTAGTGCAGACAAAGCAAACCTAGAAAGCAACACGTCAGATCCTGAAAAGCAAATACAACTGCTTTATCTGGAAATGAGGCACTCATTCACAATGAGCACAGGAGACATTTTTATTTCAAAGAAGAAAAGTTCAAAGACTGCAGAGTTCTGAAAGAATTCATGCTGTAAGTTAACTCTGATTAGTTTTGCCACCATAATGAGGGAAATCCTGGCTCCTGAGAGTCACTTCCCATTGTTGGCACCTTGTGTGCTTCTGAGCTCTGGGAACACAGGGAAGTGGTAACAAGTGCTTGTAATTAGCCAGGAGGCTATAAGCATAAGCCAGAATCTCTGCTACCAGGGGGAGAGCAGAATGTGCGAAACCACACTGGATTTGCCCCTATGCAACTACCATTAATCAAAAGATAAATATGTATTAGGATAAAAATCTGACTTTAAATAACTGAATTATAGACTAAGAAAAGAGGGATCGAATTTCTTAAGAACCACCTCCCAGAATGGCCAAGATGGTTGGTTAAGGAGTTACTACCGATTGATAAATTTTGTGTCATAAGGAAAACGATTCAAATAAATAGCTTAATGTCAGGCTAGAAAAAATGATTAATTGTATCAAATATGAAAACCCAAATGATGCCATATATCATTTCTCTAATTTGATAGATCCCACTTTATTAAGATAAGTAATTTGAAGCTAAGTCAAGTCACAGAGTCCCCTGAAAAGAAGATACTTTCCCTTCAGTAGCATTTCTGTGTTGACTGAAAGCAGGAAGCATGCTGAATTAACTTCAGGCCATCAGAACCACAGATACCCACACTGACTTGAGGCTGTTCGGATGTTTACTTTGGAGGATGACGATTGGTTCCCACCAGTGCTGGGGTCTTTACTTTTGCATTCTCTATACAACCACAAAAGAGTCTGAGGCTGCTCAGTATTGAAGTGATAACTTCAAATATCACAGGGTGGCAAGACACAGTTAAATGTGCGCCAAGGTTCTAAAACATTGCAGTAACTATACTAATGAATACAAGTTAAGAATTTAAAACTGATTTTCTATAGCATATGTGAAACAGGAAAATTAGCTGAATAACCAGATTATTTTGTCTAACTAAAGTTGAATTTATTAAAAGTACAGAGCTAAAATATTCAGCTAAGCAACCGATGTGTTTCTCTTTGTCAGACTCAAGCAATTTCATCTCTTATGCTTTAATGAAAGAAACAACCTGGATGCTGTTTTCATCTAGGTACATCCCTGGCATTAGCTGTCATTTCCAATGTAAGTAATGAATGCCTGATTCCTCAATCAGAGCACATGGACAAGCCAAATTAAAACACTTTAGGTGTTTGTGTTGGCTATCCCTTAAGCAGAAGTTTGTGTGATACAAGGCTGGCAGGATAACATCTTTCAAGAACATCAGTCGGTAGTTAAGGAAATCAAACAAACAAACCAAAAATACACTTACAAATGTACTTTAAAAGGCATCTAGCCATCACTGGTATGCAAAAGGTAATCCCTACCTCAGGTAGTCTCTGCGGCAGAGGATAAGGTTAGCTTTAGTGTACAGGGTGGAGCCCACCTCTCCCAGACGGCAGTCGCAGCAGGCACACTTCAGGCAGTCCTCATGCCAGTATTTATCCAGCGCCTTTAGGAGGTACCGATCCTTGATTTTGCGGTTGCAGCCAGCACAACCTTTCGGCTTGGTGTCTGGCTGAACTGAGAGCATTTGTATGCCTGAGGGAAAGAATTGAGAAAGGAGGACTGAGACTCCAAGACAGAAAGGAAGACAAACAGGTGAAATAGTTAACACCCTTCTGCACTCCTTCTTTTTCTTCCCTTCCTCCCTTCCTCCCTCCCTTCTTCCCTTCTTCCCTTCTTTCCTTCCTTCCTTCCTCCCTTCCTTCCTTCCTTCTTCTTGTCCTTCCTTCCTTTCTGAGAGTAGTATTACAACCAAACTACATTTTGGAAAAAAACCCTCAAACTTCGTAAAAATCCATATGAAAACCTTGATGAACTCATTCACATGAAGCAGCAACAGTGATGAACTGATGTTGCATGCTGGACCTTGACATTGGATATGGAGGTTAGATATCCTTCAATCATTTCCATAGTGTTCCATTCTCCACACAGAACGGTGCCCTCGTAAGAACACGTGAGTAAGTGGGTGACAACCCAGAGAAGCAAGCAACTGAAACTAGCTCATATTGGCTGACCTGACAGGGATCAAAACTGAGCTTTGCTTAACTGCAGAAACAATTCACTTAACGTATGTGTGATGGAAGAAGCATGCATCTGTAGACATTCAGAATCTTAGCTTAGTGGTACAGATGTTTATAGATAAGTACACAGTGCATCTGTCCCCCAAACCCATCAATTCTATAGTGCTTACTTACATCCAAATACTTGCTTCTGTATCCTTGATATTTCAAAGTATTCATTGTGTTAAAATAACAAAATGTGTTTATTTTCATACACATTAGTCACTGCTTTTATTGAAGACTCACCACTTATTATATAATATATGCCCCAATCTAATACAAGTATAGGATTATGCAACTGATAGCCACAAGTATCCACTTATTTTATAAGGGAAAGAAGAAACAGAAGACAAAGTTCAAGAATATATAAAATTACACAGTCACCCATAAATAGATACATTATAGAAAGTATACATATATCATATTAAATATCCCCGTAGTCTATATGTCAATGATTAACATTCTTCATAAGCAGGGAATCTTGCTTCTATGGGCTTCACAACTGGACTGAAATATTTTCAAATAATTGAATATTCATTTTTGAGTTTTTCTTTATTTTTCCCCAGGTGTCAAACACTCAGCCTTAAAAAAGAAAGAAAAGCTGGGCAGCTGTGCAAAGCTTCATCATTATCACATGATGGATTTGAATCACTATAAAATACTGCAGACATCATCGATTCCCTCATATTACAAATTATAATACAGAGAGGCAGGGAAGTGAAGGGGCCCTTTGAAAACTGGACGACAGTGGCACTATGGACGTGGTACCAGGTGGTCTACCTGCACCCACAGACCACCCCTTAACATTTAGTTTCCTCTCCTAGGCATAAAGTTTTAAACTTAGACAGACAAAGATTAAAATAAAAACAAACCACCTAATATGAATGCATTTAAGAGAGTTTCAGAAGGGAAAAATGAAGCATTTCTGATTCATTTCTCTTCAAGATAGGTAAACTCTCCCTTTCTGATACCTTATGATGAAGGGTTCAACCCTCATTACCTCCCCTGTCTGTAAAAGAAAATCACATTGGTAAGAGGCGTGAAAGCATGCCCACAGCTGAATAAGTTTTTCAGCTACCAACGGCACATGAACTACATGTAATATTAGAATGTTCTTGAGCTTTCATTAGGAAACAACTTGTCTGGTGGAGCAGCCGAGGAAGGAATGCAGGGGGGAAAGTGGAGTAGCTGTTTTGTGTTTCTGACATACAGGGCTGTGGTGTTCTGAGCTGTGGGCCAACAACAGATTTGTGCACAGAGCAGGTGGTATCCTCGTAGCCTGCTTTCTGCCCCTTTCTTTTGAAGGAGCTAAGGGCCTAGTGTAGATTAATCATAACCCTTGATAGCCTTGCTAAATCTCACTCTCTAGAACTTCTAACAAATGAAGTTTCTTTGATCAGAACTAGTTATCCTTTTCTAGCAAGGTCCCACAAGGCATGAGTCCCATTAATTATGGTGCACAACAGGCCCAGGTGCCTCTTAGTCATATACCTAGGGGGAGCAGGGGGATTTCGATTTACTAAGGAAGTCCGGATTTCATGACTGAAAGCATCTAGAGGTATGTTAAAGGTAACTGTCCTAATTATCTAATTTGAGTCTGTGTTTTTTATATCACAAAGCTAAATGATGGAAAATAGTAATTCTTCTTGGTAGTAAGCTAAGCTCCATTATTTTCCATGTTTGTGACATTATTACTAAGTGTAAAGAGTCAGCTATCTTTATTCAAAATAAATTGTAACCAAGACAGCAGATACCAACATTTGGCACAAGGAATACTATATTGCTTGTCTTCACAAAATGTTTTTGTTGTGTTGACATTTTAATTTAGCACTCAGAGGCCAATTAATAACTGAAACTCTTACATTCTGTTTGACCTTGTGCATAAAAGAAGTTTGATATTTTCTATTCCATCCTCATATCTTCTTTTAAAGAACATTACCCCTTTTCTCTTGCAAATGGAATCTGTTCCATTCTATGCATTAAAAAAATTGTAGGAAAACAATCACTTAGTAGTCACCGTGTTGCCAGGCCCCTAAAAAGCAGAAAGCACTGAACACTCTCTGCTCTTGATCCGAGAGAGTGTGTCTGGGGAGAGTTATGTGTTCGTGGCTGAGAGAGACACTTCACAAGTTGCTCATAGCCCATCAGCACTCATAACTAGTTTTAGATTGGCATGCAAATTGTTCTGAGGGAAATTCTTATTGCCTCTGAGACCCTGCCATTCTGAGTTATTTGACAGTTTAAGGGAAATCATAATTTTTAAAAAAGACATAAATAATAGCCTGTGCAGTGTGCTGTGCAGAAATAAGTAGAACCGTTTCATTTAAACTCTGGTGAGCTTTTAATTGCCTGGATTGCATTGTGAGAAGGCCTGACGGTTGATTGCCTCCATTATGTTCCCTTGTTCTGTGCCATTCATCCGCACAGTCTTAGCTTCAGTAGTTAACACAACAAAGTAACCACAACTCCACAACACACAGGGGCTTAAAAAAATAATCACAATAATGAAAGATGTGCAGCACTTAGGCACAGTGTTTTTTCTTTCTTTCTTTCTTTCTTTCTTTCTTTTTTTTTTCTTCACGGATGTATTATTTGGACTGATCACACAGAATGAATGGAAAACATTCTTTCCCTTTCAGAAGATTTACAGAGGACAATTTGGGAGACGGAGAAGGGGCTCCATCACGAAGGGCTTTTGGAGGAGAGGATGTTAAAATTGGGACCGCAGGTTTCGCAGCTGGGAGCAATGACAGAGATTAAAAGAATTTGGCCAACACAGCCTTTCGATTGCCAAGAGTACCAAACAAAAGATTTTCTCTCCTCCTGCCCATCTTCATCCCACTCCCACTCACTCCCCCTAACCCAGATTGGAAAACTGGATTGGGCCTAAAAGCTTGTTTCTCTCTGTTCACTGGCCCAGAGCACCCCTACAGGCTGCAGCCCCCTAAGGGAAAACAATGCAGATAGATGTCCCCAAATCTCTGGCACTAGAGCTGCTTAACTCTGTTCTGCCCCTTCAACTCCCAACCCCCCTCCGCGTCCTGCCACCACCCTCCCCTTTTTGAGCAATGGAGCTGGGAACCAATTTGATTCCCTTTTTCTCCAATGCAGCTGCAAGGCTCAGAGATACTGACATTTCCCCACTCTTATCAGTTTAATTACAGTTACCATGGCAGCAAAGTGCTAGTGCTTGGCAAAGGCCAACAAGAGATTTGCAAGACTGGGTTCAATTTTGATGCAGCTCACATGCAAAATAAAAAAAAAAATAAGAAACATACATACACTCTAACAAAGAATCCCCTTGCGGAGTTTATGATCCAACCTTTTGTAGCTGTGTCTTTGCAGCCACACAGGGATGGGTTTGCAAAGAATGCACCAGTATTTGTGGCACCTAGCGAGATTAATTGGTCGAAAGCAGCAGTCTTTAAAAGCAGTAGCAACAATAATATTTCGTATCTTCAGCAGTAGAAGAGCTGGCAGGCGCTGGAGCTAGCCACGAGTGCCCGAGTGCCCCGAGAAAGTGCATCTAGGATAGACTGTAACCTTACCAAAACTTTTCTCCTGTTTCTGCATGAGTTGACTTAGGCGTGCCCGAGCCGCTGCAGCTTCGCATGGAGCACCAAGGCCACAAGCAGGAAGTAGAAGAGGGGAGTCACTTGTATTTGGGGCCCAAGCGTGGATCTGGTGAGCAGCTTACAGGGCCGAGGATCCACTATTGTGAAGCCACTTTGGGAGCTAGGGTCTAGTGGCGAGGGAGGCAGGCGGTGGGGGAAGGGATGAGGGAACGTGTAAAATGATGGCGAATGACAAAGCCACATGCTTCCCTAACTCTGCCCGTAATCCTAAAATCCCAGCGGCCCCTTTTAGCTTCCTGGTAACAAATGGATTTGATTAAACCGTCACACGCAGTGTTAGCATAGCATATCGTGTTCGGTATGAAAAAGATCATAAATCTGACTTGTGTTTCATAACAGCAATCTGAGTAGCCCCCGTTAAAATATGCTGAATCTCTAGACCTGTTAAGACGCAGGCACTTGGGTCCAAGGAATCTGCTTCCACTGGACACTTTTCTCCTCTCTGCATGCTCCCACATAGTCACTTTTGCAACACATAGAAAGCAGTGTTTTGTTATTAAGGCTGCATAGGGTAGAAGCAGGGGTGTGGACAGGAACAAGGTTGTAATTTCAACTCTTTCTTGGGGGAGGGCATGAATTTCACCAAGCAGGCACGGAGAGGTCCGAGAAAATACCCAAGACTGACACCACTTCCCTCAGTCTGAAAGCAACACCCCACCCCCCAACCTTTGCAAACTGTCCCAACCCCTCTTCCGGAGTCAGAGTATGTATGCTGCAGCTCCCAATGAACTTTGTCTATTATGCTCTGGACTCCTACTTGAGATGTGGCGCTGCAGCGGCACGCTCCCCCTCTTCCTCAGGCATCCTCATCTTCCGCCCCGCGTCTATTTCGCGTCTCATCATAAAAAATAATGATGCCTCCCATGATTTAAATAAAACAAACAAACAAAAACCATCTCTGCCGACCTGCAGCCGGGTGAAAGTTGCAGTGCTGGTGGTGGGGATGGTTCGGTGCAGCTTTACTTTATGCTTCATTGAGAGAGGATGGGGAAGAAGAAGAAGAAGAAGAAGAAAAAAACAACCCAACATCCGCACACGCACGCGCGCACCCGGAGACACACACAGCACAAATAAGCCGACGCGTGTGTACACAGCCTCTCACTTACCTTCTCAATTAAGCGATACAGGGGAGGGTGTTCAGTGAGCACAGAGGCTGCTTGGTAGCGCTTCTCCTTGGGAAAGGTCAAAAAGAAACATTGTTTGAAAAAAAAGGGGGGGGTGGATCTCTATTTTTTTTTTAAGTTTAAAATAATGAGGTCCTCCAGGATCCGCCAAGTACCAGTGTGGACCGCATGCGAGCCACAGGTGTCCTTCTTTTAGGCAACTGCAGTCCAGGGGGATGTCTCTCTTGGTCCTGGCTCCAGACAACTTACCCCAGCAGCATGTGAGGAGCCCGAGCTGAAGGAAGCCCTGGCTCTCAGCCGCAAAATGCAATTCCTTCCCAGCCAGACATAATACAGCCCAAGAAAAGGTCACCCAGTTATTACAGCGCAGCGGAGCCCAGGCAGCACCTGTCAAGACCACAGTGGAGGCAGCTCCCTTCCGATTTAAGAGTATTTACCTCTCGCCCCCACCCCTCCCTTCCTTCTCTCCCTCCCTCTAGCTGGCTCCCTCGCTCGCTCTCTCGCTGGCTCGCTGGCTTGCTAGCTTGCTCTCTCTCTCTCTCTCTCCGCTGTCTGTTCTGCAGCTCAGTCAAGTACAGCCGCCCTCGGAAAGTGCAAAAGCAGCCACGAGACAGATCCAGGCTTTGTTGCTAATTTCCCAGGGTGAAAATTGACAAGCCTGCGAGCGCACTCAGCACAACCCAATGCATATGCTACTGACAAACGCTGAGGACCATCCCCTCCCGCCCATCCCCATCACACAGAGAATGTGACCTCTGCGGGACTGGACTCCGGAAGGACCGTACCTCCTGGACTTACCCACAGAAGAACTGCGAAAGAGCTCGGGAGGAGAAGGGTAGGGCTTCCTAAAATAACGGGGGCATTTTGGAATAGGACGGGCACGTTGAGAGCAAATTGCCCTCTAAATCTGTTACTGACAGTGCCAGTGGAGGAAGTTAGAATATAAAGCCAGGGAATCACAGTGCTACCCGGTACACTGGAAGAAAAAAAGCACAGTCCTCTCCTTTAGTAAACGTCTGGGCGCAGAGGTGGGGGTGGAGAGGGTCTACAGTTGCCCAGGCTATGACTTCCATTCAGAAACTCTCTGGAGTCCCTGCTCCCAAAGTCTTGGCACACAAACCCAGTCCAGGCAATACCACACACACCCCTTCCTCTCTCTAATAGCCCAAGAGCCAGACTGTGAACTTGTACCCCCACACCGGGTGCTGAAGCCACGGTGGCCACTGAAACACACTTCCTGCAGATCCTTGAATGCTTGCATTTAAACCTGCTTCAGTGCTAATCCCCCAAGAGCTCCAAGTCAGGCTACCAGGACTAAGTGGGTCCCTCAGCCATGCTCCTCTTACCCCCTGCCTTCGTAGACTTATTTTAAGGCCTTGACAGAGGCTTTTACATTCTCTTTAAATCTGTTTACTTGGAAGAGATCCTTTTCCCCCCAACCTCTGCTCTTCACTGCTTCCCTGTAGGTCACCAGTAGCTTTAAAGCATCTTCTTTTTCTAAGTTTTCAAACTTCAGTGACCCCCCACTCCTTGGCAGTTCTTGCCAGGCTCCCTCAGCATATCTCACAAAGCCTTGTTAAAAGATCAAGCTCAAAAATGGTGCAAATTTGGATGACACCAGCTGAGCTGTTTTAAGTGCCAAGAAAGATTCAATTGTTGAACTATTATAAATAAATAAATAAGTATAATAAAACAAAAAAACCCAAAACAAACCAACAAAATAACTTCTTTTCCTCCTCTACACCATCAATTTTAATCTAGTTCTAGATTTTATTTTATTTTATTTTTTAAATCAAAGCAGCCTCCTTGAATACTTATGCTAAATTATGCTTCCCTGTATCCAGAGTCCTGGCACAGCAAGGCTAACTTATTTTTTAACCCCAACCTTCAGAAGGCTCATAATAAAATAGTATGTGGCTTGCTTTCTTATCCCTTTCAAAGGCAACAAAACTCAGAACTAACCTGAAAAATAAGGAAATTCAGACAGGCAGAGTACTGAGAAGCCCTTCAGCTGTTCAGTCTACAAGCAGACTTCTTAAGTTTTGGCTTTTTCTGGCCGGACTACTCAGCACACACCTCACCCATTGACACAGCTCCTGGTAGGTCTACCCAACCTCCCAGCCACAGCTACTCTGAAACACCCCAGTGTGTGTGTGTGTGTGTGTGTGTGTGTGTGTGTGTGTGTGTGTGTGTGTGTTGCCTGTTCTCTCCAGCAACCAATGTACTGAGAAGAAAAGAGGGAGGGAGGGAGGGAGAAGTATGTGTGGGGAAAGGGAGAAATAAAATCAAAACAAATGGTACAGCTAATGAGGACAATTAAATTAATTATGTTCAAGGAGGATGAGATTTTTTTTCCCTCCAACTGTATGATCTGTTACCCCTCGCTGGCAACTGCTTCTCCGTAATTCATGGCAACTGATGAGTGCATCTATGCAAATCTTTGTTTAAATCATTCAACTAATTAAATGATGGGATTATTCCTCTGCCTACGGTGACATCATTCGCAGTAATTAGTACTCTTTTGGACTGTGGCAGTAAGATCCCCCATATCAACACCAACCTGCAAAGGCATTAACCACTTTGACACCTAAAAATAAATAAATAAAAAGGACAAATATCCAGAGCTCTAATTGTATCCCTTTCTCTTCTTGTCTCTCCTCAATCTTCCCTTTCCTCTTAGTTTTACCATAATATCCCATATTTGTAGAGAGAGAAAGAGAGACAGGGTGAGGGAGAGAGAGAGAGGAACTTAGTGAATAATATGCTAAACCACATGTGTAAAAGAATAAAATGGAATAGTTAACATTCAGCTCCATGCCATTCATTTTCCCCTAAAATGTAATGATAATTAGATGGGTCATAAAATGCTCTTCTTTTCATTATGACTGATGAAATGCATTAAAGCTGACAGGGTATTACCTGACAGTAATTAGGTTTTGTCATGAATTAAATTATTTGAAAGCAGACTATCTCCCCAATCATGCAATTTACAGCAAGATTTTTTTTAATCTGTGCCACAGAAGAGAGAGATAGAAAATAGCAGTTTTTCTCTTCATAATCATATGAATTATTCACAGAAAAAAAATCATCAGAAAAACCCAGTGCAGATGAAGAGGCTTGCCACTTAATGTGTACAGATGTGATCATCAGTGCTCGCCGACAATGGAATATACAAGAGCACACAAAGTGATCTGGTGAACAAGAGGTGGAATTTAATCATCTTCTGCTGGCACTTGGTGCAAAACACCATTAACCCCCAGCAAACCCCCTGTTTTCCTGGCTCCCCACAACCCCCAAAGTCTCAGCCCCTCCTGCCAGGGGAAAAAAAGTGAAAGAAGAATGTGCTTTTGTTTACTCAGCCAAGCTAAAGGTTGGATCCAGCCAGGCAAGCACTTTCTTCATTTCCTGAGAGTAAACTACCCACTTTAATTACACATGCTTCGGAAATCTTTGCAAAAGGATTGCTATCGAGAGCCACGTCTTCTTGGTCCGATTATCTCTTGCCTGCCCCTTGTTTCTGCAACTTATCATACATCTGATGAGAGAATTTAACTCAATCCATCCCACATATTCTAATACTTAAAAAGAGAAAAAAAAAGACTATCTTTTCCTGGACTCCTATATTATGATTTCTTTATGAGGGGGGATGGTAAGGCGTGTGTGTGTGTGTGTGACAGAATGGGGGAGGAGGTTCTCAAGGGGGTAATCAGACATATGCTACTTACCTTTGCTCAAAAGAGATCTTGAACAAGAAACTGTGTATGTGTGTGCCTGTTCCTAAATATGTCTTCAAGTTTTCAGCCGTCTCTTTCTGCAAAACACACCTCACAGATAACTTTTGTGTGGGGTTGTTCAGTAGTGGGTTCTGTAGCTTCCCAGAGCTGCTTCTGTGGGGTCGCAGTCTTTTTTTTTAAAGGGTATCAGACAGGTTGTTGCTGTGGGTAGGCAGAAGATAGCACCCCTTCTAGAAGTCCAGGTACAGTCAAAGGTGTCAGTCAAGGGAGAGATGAGGTTGACAAGGCCCCCTGCTCACACACTCCCACCATCACGCTTGGAGATGCAGCCACACAAATGAAGGAGCCTCTCGCTTCGCTTCCGCCTTCCTTGGTTTTCTGGCGTGCTTTTCTCTTTCTTACTTTCTTCCCGAACTGCATACAAACCCTGAGTGGGCCAGAGCGGCTCCTCCAGTATTTAAACACCTCGCCAGGTCCCTAGTTAGCAGCTTCCTTCAGCTCATCCAAGAAGCTGACAAGTACTGTTAAAGGAGGCTGTACATGCCGCTCTAATGGACCTCATTAAGTTCTACTTACAGATGTTCTCTTAACATAATTGATCTGCGGTGAGTTGAGAGGACTGCAACTTATTCCCTAGCCCCCAATTATGGTTGGGTAATTAGATCCCCAACCTCCAATTTTTCACATTCACCCTTCTAACATTCCAAAATATCAAAGTATGTCTCTCTCCAAAGCTCCCCCTTACCGGACTCCACTCTCCTCACTGTATTGACAGTTAGATGTGCTCTAACCTTTGTAGTGACGCCAATTTTAATGGTGCATTCAGACCATTGACAGAGCGGTGTTTCTCCCCCAGCCACTCTCCTCTGGTCCCCACACACCATCCCCTCCCACTCCCTTAACCCTCAGAAACAAAAGGGTAAAAAAAATCCTCTAACTTGTATAGTTTGTACTTTTGATAAAAGGTTTGGGTGATGAGCCCTGGCATGGCCGCTTCCTTTCTAATGTCTTTTTATCTGTATTAATTCCTCAGATGAAAACTTTAAGGAACAATGAAGGAGAGAGGTGCCGCTCTGAACCGGTGAGAAGAAAAAAATTACACAGCACACCTGGGACAGATGAAGCCAAACTAGTGCTTTTATAATGCCAATCAGCGCGGCTGTTAGCATCCCTCTAATTAGGAAAGCAGCCTAAAACAGAGCGCACTTGGGGAAATGGTAATGTTATGGTTTTGCACTTAAAAGGAGGCACATTTCCTGCGCTGTAAGGATCTGGGATTGGGGCTGACAAGTCCTTTAATTAATGGCAGGATTCCCTGTGTGTGCAAGTGTGTGTGCTTGTTTTAATTCATAAAAGTGGACAAAGGGTGCTAGGAAGGGGGGGGGGGCGTGTGCTGTGGGATGGGAAGGGAGGGGAGAACCCATTAGTTTGAAGATGAGCAGAGTTCATAGCTACATTCATATATTTTTTTCTTTTTTAAATCCCCAAAGGACTAAGGTGCAGAACTGGAGTGAGCTGCCGCTCTTTCCCCACCGAATTTGAATGCTGTAATGAGTAAAAGCTTATGACCACAAGGCAAACAGAGTTTTTAGAGAACTCCTTTTTCAGGTGGGCCACTCTTGTCTCTCCTACAGCCCTTCCTGCTGTCTCTTTGGGTAGGTGCACTCACAGTTCACCTTGGCTTGTGTGGAGCTCTCTACTCACCAGGGACTGGATTTCTCTTCATTTTCCAGTGTGGAAGACATATGTGGAGTCAGTCATTCCAGGACCCAGATCACTCCTCTTTCTCTTTCAATGTGAACAAGTATCCTAAGAAAAAGTGTTAGTGTTTGTTTTCTGGAGGGCTTTGACATAGCACTTCGAAGCAGGCAGCACTGGTTTCTGCACACCGTTTCAATGGCTTTTGGATGCCCAGGAGAAATTCGCCAATAACTCCAAAAGCAGCTTCAACATTTGCCTTCCTGCCCTCCGAAGAGATTCACCAACATGCACACACCTGTCCTTGGGCGGTGCAGGTTCATGCTAGGTGGGTTGTTTAACAGGGTAATAGGTTTAAGTTCCGTTCCCATCTTATCTAGTCTATAATTTATTTTTTTTCAAAAATAAATCCCAAATATTCTATTGCCATCTCACACATACCGACGCAGAGCCTAAAAAGAGGTACAGTCACGGAGCTGCTATGATGGCTCAGGTTCATCTTCCATCACACTAGTGCTTGGCTGGGGAAATCTCTCTCTGTGAAACAAGCAGGACTTCTGAGGGGAGCAGAGGCCAGCCACTGGAAAAAACTTTAAATTCATCCTCATAAGAACAGAATGGTTTTGCAATAGTGTTCTGATTTTATATTTATACTTTATACCTTTGACATTTTATGAACAAATTTAAGGAGTAGCAAGAGTGTTGGCAGCCCTTGGAAATACGAAATGGTTAAGCAGTATCTTAATTCGAAGAGGCAGAAAGTGAAACCTCACAGTCTAAGGTCGACATCTCAATAAGATGATAATAAAGGGAGAGGAAGGCCTACATTTTATTTATATTTTATCAGAGGTTATCTCTGCAGAATTTGAAGCACAACAAATACTATTCTAAAGAAAATGTTCATCACCTGAAAATGAAATTACTTCCCCCAGCAAAATGTCCACACTCTCTCTCCTCGGGCTCCTCCAAGCAGCTGAGAAACAGGAGATACTTTACATGCCCTCATATGACTCATTTAACTATTAAACAATCAGATGTAGCTCTAATTCACTGACACCCCCTCTCATGGGATAGACATTCATCCATCCATCCATCCATCCATCCATCCATCCATCCATACACACATACATGCACACATACATACACACACACATACACACATACATACACACACATACATACACACACATACATACACACATATATACAAACATACATACATACACACATAGATATACACATACATACATATGCACATACACACATACATATATATACATATACACATGCATGCATGCACATAGACATGCATGCATGCTTATTTATTTAAAAGGACAATAGACAATAATTTGAGAAGAAAATGCAGTTGAGATCTTATTTACAGGATCTAGCCTGGGGAATATGCTTAAGAAGAAAAACTGATTATTATGATAAGCACTACTTTGGCTTATAAGAAAGCAAAGAGCAAAACCTCACAGTCTTCCTGGCAGGCTTGAGACGTCTCTCAGAGTCACTCTCTGGAAGCAAATTGCTCTCATCCTAATGTCAACTGTACAACAAAAGAGAGACTTTTAAAAGTCGACAATATTCAAAATGGCCCACCAAAGTATTTGTGAATTCCCCCAATTCCACGGATGTAGCAACAGACTTGTTTTGATGTAAAACTAAGAGATGACTTTAATGACCCAGCTACTTCCTAAACAACTTTTGTAAGTTTGCATCTATAGAATAAAAGAAATCTTATCTTTGGCTATAAAATGGAGGTGTCTTTGAGAATCTAAGCCAACATTTATTCTGATCAAAAAAAAAAAAAAAAAAAACACCACTTGTCATCTCTTCATATTTGAGAGGCAGAATTTAATGTGTTTATCTTGGTTGAATTCTTTGGAGGCTGGATGTATATAGTGTGAAAGACATGACACTTGATTTACCGTCCACTGACTGCTCGTCTGTGAGTCTGGATTGTGCTAAGAAAGTTTACATTCCTGTGTGGCTGAGAGCCAGGTCTGGTAGACAGTGAAGTAGCCAGAGAACTGTTGAGGGCTGAGCATGGTTTGTTCTGTTTTTATTTCTCTAAAGTCCTTGACTTCCAATGCATTTACATTGTCTAATTTTCTTTTTCCTGAACCCTGACTCTGGTATTCTAATCCAAGAAATGGGTAGAAGCATTCCAATCAAAGTTCAAACGTGTTTTTCTCATTTGGTTAGGCCCCTAACCCGTGAAGATGAGGCCAAGTGTTGGTGACAAGGGACAAAAAGCATCTCTTATGGTGACTAGCTTCTAGAAGCTTCTTGGGACATGATAACAATTACTATCTTATGCAAAAATATTAAACTTCTTAGCTAAGGGGCATTCACCATATTATTGGTCTTCTCAGTTCCTAGACTTCTGTAAAATTTCGTGTGCATTCTTGTAAGATAATTATATCCTGTATTGTCCGCTAGACTAAACATCTGAAAATTCAAATTTTATCTAATTTCACACAGGAGTAAATGGAATGTTTTGCTCACAATAGATATTTATTAACGGGGATCAAGTTGATTTAAATTAAACAAGGAAGTCAGTCTTAAACACAATGTTTACAACATTAATTTAAGTTGTTGATAAAGAGAAAATTCTGATCACGCTACTTAATATTATTGTTTTCATCATATGTATAAATTCAGAAAAGATTTCTGTAACATGGTGTAAAGGTTTATTTTGTCATCTGTCTTCATGAGTGCATCCTAAGTTTTTAGAGTCCTCCTCTGGTTTGCCATCTTCAGCTCTGCCTCAAAGACTAGCACATACTGAGTCCTTCATAGCTATTTGCTACAGGAAGGGCTAAAAGCAAAAAAAATACATGATTGGAAAGATGCAAAGAACAGTTGATCAAAATAAAATCATTATTATTTAAAACCACTAGCTGTCTGAGACAATAAAGATGGAAAAAATTGAGGCCATTGTATTTTTTTGACACAAACTAGAATTATGACAGTTTCCTGTAATGTACAGAAATATTGAGATTTCTGTAATGTTCATGGTGGTAAACACGTTTAGGCAAATGTGATGTGTTATTCAGTCACCCCTCATATCTGACATCAAATATCCTTGAGAGTCTATAATGAAGAAACATTTTAGATAATATTTGATAGGAAAATAGCTTTTCCTAATTATGCCTTAAAATACCCAAGGGAATATTAAAAAGACAAAATATGACAGACAAAAAAATAAAATAAAAAATAAGACTAGAGTCTTAGACTGTTGTTTGAGCCACAGGTAGACTAAATTCCTCGGCCTTACTAGTTTTCACTGTATGACAGGTAAGATAACTAGGAAGACATCTTAGCTCCTCAACCCTAGTATGTCTACATTCAGAATGTCAACTGAAGGAAGGAATTCATTTGTTTGAGACTTTTAAAAATTTGTTTATATTAATTAATTAATTAATAATTGTGTGGAAATCAGAGGACTTTTAGGAATAAGCTGAAGATTATTGTCCTCTGTGTCCAAGGGCAACATACCATGGAGGTCAGTAGTGTGCCATCCAATCATTTGTAATGAGGGCCAGGTTTGCACAAATCGATGAGAAACGACAAATACTGTGAGAAGAAAGAGCAAAGTATCACCCATTTAAAGGCTCAGAGAAAGAGAGTATTTCCAAAAGTAATTTGTGTTTATTTTTACTTATTTATTTTTTGAGATGAAGTCTTACTGTGTAGCTTTGACTGACCTGGAATTGCTACGTAGACCAGGCTGGCCTCCTCACTGAGATCTGCCCGCCTTTGCCTCCCAAGTGCTGGGTTTCAAGGTGTGCACCTCCACACTTACTGGAAACTGATTTCTGATGAGACTCAAGAGAACCTGTTTGCTTTGCATACTCAGGGAAATGCAAGCAGCAAGAGCTGCTGCTTTGGAGCAGGATTGGTATTGGATGGGGAACAAAGAAAGACCTGAAGGAGAGGCAATTCGGGCAAGGAAGAGTTTTAGCAAAACAAAACATAACAGGAAAATGACAAACTCCATTTTAAAAGTTGTCGCCATCACGAGACCTCGAGCAGTCTGATGTGTGAAGCGGCAAGGGCACCCACTGTGCTGGACAAGGAAAAAGGGGTGAAAAGTAATGGAAAAGAACGTGAAAGATCCAAATAACAGACTGCTGAAACGTGTGAGGCAGACATGGTAAATAAAGATACGGTGGGAAAAAACCTTCCCAGGTTACCTGTGTGTGCAGATTTGTGTGTAGATTGAGAGGGTCTTCCTACATGCATGAATGTATCACATGCATGCAGTGCACATGGAAGCCAGAAGGGGGTGTTGGATCCCCTGGAATGGAGTTACAGGTGGTGGTGAGCTGCCATGTGGGTGCTGGGAACTGAACTAAAGTTCTGCGAGGGAGCTCCTAAACCATCACTGAGTCCCCCTCTCCCCCTCCCTCTATTCTTTCTTTCTCTCTCTCTCTTTCTATCAAGCCCAGGGTTCATGAAGGAGCAAGTGGTGCTTTACCACTGAGGTGCGTCCCCACGGACGGCTTTAGATGGCAGACACATCAGAAGAACGACTCTGCACTTCCTTCCTCTTTCTCCAGCTCTTAACTTTTCTCTGTCACAAAACAGCACACTTCACAAGTCTCTGTCTTCCCCTCATGGTTAAACGGAATCTCGTGTGAGATCTAATGACCTAACTCTAGTTTGTGAGCTATTCAATAGAAATTATGGCTGGACCTTATTTTCTAGAAAAGGCTCTTTAATGGCAATATTTTTTTCTTTTTCCTCACTTCTCCCCATTAATGCTTCTTGTCCTGAGTGTGATACCTTCGTGGATTAGGAGACTTAAGAGGGTTAACACTTTCAAGTCTCAACACTTATTAGTTATTGAATTTGTATTTTCTGACTCAAATTATATATTTGCTTTAATACTTCTTAATTTTGCAGTTACTTCATGGTTTTTCAGAAAATGATGCTTATGTCTTATTTTTGTTCGTTTTTCATTCAACTCTTTAATGTGGAATTATCCTACATGAATATATTTATATCTGAAAAAAAAGTTGTAACATTTAGTTGACAGGATGGATTTTAAACTGATCTTTTTCGAGACAGGGTCTATTTGTGTAGCCCTGGCTGATCTGCTCCTTGTAATTCTCTTACCCATAGTTTCAGCTACAGTGTGTGTGTGTGTGTGTGTGTGTGTGTGTGTGTGTGTGTGTGTGTAATTGTATATGAATGTGTGTGTGTGCATGCGTGTGTGCGTGTGATTGTATATGAGGGTATGTATATGTGTTTGTGAGCATATGACTGTATATGGGATTGTGTGTATGTGTGTGTGTGTGTGTTTGTATATGAATGTGTGTGTGTGCGCGTGTGTGCGTGTGATTGTATATGAGGGTATATATATGTGTTTGTGAGCATATGACTGTATATGGGATTGTGTGTGTGTGTGTGTGTGTGTGTGTGTGTGTGTGTGTGTTGCCAGTGGTGTTGGGATCTAACTTAGGGTCTCAGGTATTGCTAGGCCAGTGCTCTACTACTGAGCTAAGCTGGAAGCACCAGTACGCACATTTTAAAAAATGTATTTCTACAGAATTTGAAGCTCATGATCAGATTGCCTAATGGTACAAGGAGCTTCTCCTAGATCCCATTTACCCAATTTCATCTATTATTTATATGTTGCCCCATTTACTTTACTATTGGCTGTATCTAATTATTTATGCACACTTGCATATTTTTCTTGAAATATTTAAAAATACATTTGAGACATTGTGCCCCTTACCCTTAAATATTTCACCATATCTGTCTAGGAAAGGAAAATTAAAAACTAAACCTTTACTCTCTTTTAAGTAATAAAATCCATCATTGAAATCTAGAAAATTTAGCTTAGAAAAAGTATTAACTAATATGATGTACATATACAAATTTCATTCACAATGCTGTTGTTTCTTTTTAACTCATACACTCCTGTCTCCATAGAGGGCACAATTCAGAATTGTGCCTTGTATTTTGTTGTCCTAATTAGCTTCAGTTGTCTTCCTGACTTACATCAACGGAGGAACTGCTTCGATCCGTTTTTCCTTTCTTTTTTCCCCCTTCTATTGAAAATGGATTTTTTTTTTTTAGCACATGTTGTACCCTGATTAGGGTTTCCCCTCTCTCCACTTTTCCCAGTTCCTTCCTACCTCCTGTCCCATCCAGATCTACCCACTTTCTGTCTCTCAGTAGAAAACAAACAGGCTTCTAAGGTTTTATAATAAAATAAAATGTAAGATAAAACAAAAAATAACACTTTGGAAGTGGGCCAAACAAACATAAGGAAAAGAGCCTATGAGAAGGCACAAGAAATAGAGATCCACTCTTTCATACACTCAGGAATCCCATAAAACCACTTAACTGGAAGCTATAATATGTACACAGAGGCCTTGGCGTCGATCCATGCAGGCCCTGTGTGTGCTGCCTCAGCCTTGTCAGTTTATATGTACTTTGATTACACTGACGTAGAGGGCCTTGCTCTCCTGGTGTCCTCCACCCCCTCTGGCTCTTACACTCTTTCTGTCTTCTCCTCTTCAGGGTTCTCTGAGCCCTAGTGGGAGGGATTTGATGGAGAACATTCTGTTTATGGCTGAGTGTTCTAAGGTCTCTCATTCTCTGCACATTGTCTGGCTGCGGGTCTCTGTATTTGTTCCCGTCTGCTGCAGGAGGAAGCTTCTCTGATGATGACTGATCAAGACACTGATCTGTGAGTATAGCAGAATGTCATTAGGAGTCATTTTATTGCTGTATATATTTTAGGAACAGTAGTTTTGGTTTAACCCATGACCCCTTGGTTGTGCAGTTTTAGGCTCTTGATCACAGGGGCAGTGTCTGATAGGACACTTGTGGAGTAGGCTCAAAGTCAAGACCATTCACTTAGACATTGTGGATTTGCTAAGAACAAGCCACCCCAAGCTTTTGACACTCCAAGAGACAGCATCCCGTGTTTACAGACAAGCTGTCACTGGGTATTTGTCAACCCACAAATCACATCCTATCCTTCCTTTCCACACTTCTCATTTTCTTGCCTTTGGTCTATGCTGACTTTTTAAAATAAAGTTTAATTGACAAACCATCATGCCCATTCAGTCGCATATTCTCTCCCCATAGCTACAGTGGAGCAAGTAGCTGGAACAGGTGCATTACTATCTACAAGGTTGAGATAATTTGCACATGTGTTCACATTCATATGGAGGATCAAAGTTGATATTATGTGTCTTCCTCCATCCCTTTGTCTGTTGAATATTGAGGTAGATTTTTTCAGCTGAGAGAATCTGCCAGTCACCTAGTCTAGTTAGCCATCTCATCATCCTGTGCTTGCCTCACGGAAACCTTGTCTGCCTCTTGAGTGTCCCACCATGTCTGTCTGGCTTTTATGTGGGTTCTGGGGATGCACTCTCTGGTACCCACTATGTCTAACAAGTGCTTCATCCACTCATGTCCCTGGCACTGAGTGTTGAGCCTTTGTATTAATATTTGGCATCTGCAAATGAGCTAGTTCCTAATTTCCTTCAGCTCTTTCTTTTCCCCCTTCCTCTTACGTGGTGTCCTTCACACCAATTGGTCCATCTTTTTGAAGAAGTCAAGTTCCAAATGCCATAAGGACTTTTCAAAACTCTCAAGTATGTTCTGGGTCCACAACAGAATTTCAAACAGGAAGTTTTCATCTGCCTTGGATCCCTGACCATCAAAGTGAGGTTTCTGTGTCCTGAACTAAGTCTTTCACTTCCTCAAGGTTAATCTTGATGTGAATAGAATACTGCACAGATTTGTCTGACATAATTTTCCTGAGTGATGGAAGTGTTCCTCTCTGGCTTGTCCAATACTCCAGCCTCTAGCCACATGTGAAACTATAATTTTATTAATTTTAATGAATTTAAATTTAAATAGTCATGCTTGACTAATGGCCACCATGTAATGATAATGTGGTGGAAGAGAGAATATTCAGTATTCATTTTATATTTCAGGTATTGTTTTCCTGACTGGCCAATAAGAGTGGGGTCCAGAGAAAATTAGGCATATCTATTTTTGTGGTGCAAGCTTTAATCCCAGCCATTTAGGAAGCTGAAACTGGAAGGTCCCAAGTTCAAAGCCAATATAGCATATGGTAAGAGAAAGGCCAGCAAATTAATGAGATCCTGTTAAACAAGACAAAAACGAAGAACCAAACAAGCAAAAACAAAAATGAAAGAAGAAAAGAAAAATAAGAAAGAGAAAGATCAGAAGGCTGGGCTATAGCTTAGTGCACAGCACAAGCCTTGCTAGCACTCAGGAGTTCCTGAGTTCCGTCCCCAGTCCTGGGGCAGAGGGCAGCAGAGTGGAGACTACTTTTGGGACTCTCAGAGACTCAAGCATTCCTTGCACCTGGAGTCTCTCAGGTCTAGATTTATCTTCTACTACAGCATATTTTTCTGCCTCTTAGTCTGTACTAAAGTCATTTCTGTCTGTCCCTGTTTCTCTGTCTTTCTCTCTCTCTACGAGACAGGGTCTTCTGTATGTGTGGAACTCCTTCCTTAACAGAGGGTGACTGAAACTCTGATGTCTTGCTTCCTCTCTTGTCCGCATGCAGATTATGCCTCCTCACTCCCTGGATTATGCAGTGCTCAAGAACTTTACCAGCTGAGCTCCAGATCCATGGGTATCCCCTTTCAGGTAACACTGACAGCCACTGCACCCTTCCTGCTCTGTTCAGCTCACCCATAATAATGCTCTTCTCCATGATCAAACTTACAACAGTTCAAGGTCGTAAACTGTCCAACATTTCTTTTGCATTCCTCTTGATGACATACCATATGCTGGGCACCTGGCTGGTATTTGATAAATATTTATTGCATGGGTAACTAAAGAAGTTTACATCAGGGAGCAGGATAAGAAGGCAGATGGCAGTCACATGATTAAGACACCACTTCTTCCTGCCAGAACTGAGAGTATATTCTGGTGATTTTTCCATAAGGTTCCAGATAAATTTCTGTGAATTTGACTACACATTCAGGATGTCTGGGAAGGAGAGAACCAGTTGTTAGAAATCAAAATGTGTATTTCCACTGTTCTCTGTACACAGCCTCTCTCTGATTCTCTCCAGTCTGCAGTACATCTAAACAGAACTCCAGGGTGAAATTGTGAGCTTTCTCTCATGTGTGTGGAAGCCACATGGTGGCTCCCACCGCTAGTGATTTCAGATCTGTCTCGCAGTTCTGATTTGACACTTCACAACTTCTCAAAATGGTTGCTTATGCTTATTTGCAGATTATGTCTGTTTAGACTGCTAGTTGGGGCAGCTACCTCTAAACTGGTAGGGTCAGCGTAAGCAAATCCCAATAATATCAAATGATAAATAAACAAAGCATTAAGTAAGTAGCACAAGCCATGCAACGTACTGCTAATGATTTCAAATCATGCTAACAGATAAATCTTCCTGAACAACATGTAAAATTCTTTATCAGTTTGAAAAGATATGACTTTTTAAGACAACAATCATTGTCACTAACACTTTTGAAAATAAGCAACAATGTCAAGAGTTTGTTTATACATATGGAACGTATTTTAGATGTAGCAGCCAGGAAAATCTCATTACTGTAGACCTCACTTGAAGATCTCTGAGGTCCCTTCCAGCTTTAAATGCTGAATATAATTCAGAATTTATGATAATTTGAACTAGGCTAGGCTGAAATTTACTTTTGTATGATCTATGAAGCGAGGATTTGGTAATGGTGTAAACAAGATTGCTGGAGGCTTTTAGCCAAGCTGTTCTTAAAGATTTTAACACATTGTGTGATACAAATGGGGCTAATTTCAAAAGATCCCTACCCATTTGTTAGAGCAAAAAACACAAGTCTGTTAGTTAGAAGTGCTTTTCATTAGCAGCTTAATTTCTTGTGTGTGTTTGAAAATAATACATCTGCGTATTTATTAATGTCTGTGGTTTACTTCATTTTTATTTCAAATTGGTTTTTCTAATGGTAGAACATATTCACATGGTCTTCTTATAATTAGAAACGAGCATTTTTGAAATAAAATTGTATATGTTCCCCTTTTTATTTCCCATTTTCTTGATATATTTAAATATATACTATTGGACATCAATATTATTTCAGTGCCAAACTGCACGAAAGCAGGTTTTTGTGGCAATCAAATTACTCTTTAGAAAACAATAAGAAATTCAAAGCTTCTGAAATGTGATTGTAATTTTGAGATCCATTTGCAATTCTTCAAGAACGCATGAAGTGGTGTAGAAACTGTAAGCACAGATGACAAAGAGCTAGTCCAGCAGAGAACTCACTGCCTTGTAGGGGACTCAAGCTCAGTTTCCAGCACCCACATTACAGCCATTTGCAAATCCAGTTCTAGTGTATCTGATGCCCTTTCTGACCTCAGGGGCTCCTGCAGATGTATAGTATCCATGAGATGCTCAGGCACATGCATATACACATAAAGTAGAATAAATATATTTTTTAAAATAGAAGCTACCATAATAGGCTCTTTATTTTCTCTTTGACATATTATCATAGTAATTTAGTTTTATTGATTTAAAAACAATTCTCTGTTTTTGCAAAGGCTAAGACACGTTCTGTCGTGTCCCACAGAACTGTCATTTGACTTTTGGCAACAGGATTTCACAATCTGACTTGCCTGCAAATAGCAAAAAAATATAATAAAGGCATGCATATAGACTGTACATTCTCATTTTAGAAAACCCCACATGACAAAAATTTATTTTGGAAGGTCTTAGTTATGGTTTGAAATGAAAAAAAAAACCTGATAATCATTATGTTAAAATAATGTAAGAAAAAATCAAATCATTTCTACCAAAAGGTATCAATAAAAATCCATATATCCCTCTCTGAATACATTTTTATAATATCATGTTGTTTTGTAGGCATAGGGTAGAGGTGCCTTAGTATATCCTGTGCTGTGTTCTACTGGCTGTGCTCATATTGGTATATAAAGACTGATTCCTATGATAGTAAAGAAACAAAACTTACTGCCGTGGGAATTTGTACATTTAATTACACATTTTATGGAACTTTTCAGTTAAATTACCAACATTTATTGAGTGGGTGATTTACTGATTGTTCTAGCCTAAGTTTGCTTTTTTATTTTGGAAAAACTGTTACTATTTATGTGTATGTGACACACATACACACACACACACACACACACACACACACACACACACACACATGCCTGTGCTCCTTGTAAGTGCTCACAGCGTCCAGAAGAGGGCATCAGACCTCCACAGCTTGAGGCACAGGTGGTTGTGAGCAGCCTCTTAGGGCGCTGGGGCCTCCCATTTTGTCCTCTGGGAAACCAGCAAGCACTCCCCACTGCTCTCCAGCTCTCTCTGTTCTGTCTTAATCCTCACCAGATCTGACAACACAAAAACTATGATTGTTTTTATTTAATAGTTGGGGAAATTGAGACCTTGAGAGAGAACAACCCTTGCAGGGGATTTCACTAGTATTCATCAGTATGCAGCAGAGACACCATTAATATGTACTATATTTCTCTAAAACCCACAGCCTTCCTTTCTAAACAAGGGTTTTCATTTATTTTCTCAGCTTGCCACTCACACTAATTATTTTAATGACTTAAATCTCTCAAATATGTGTAGGTCATAAATGTTATTAAACATTGAGAGTTATTTTTTTAAGTCTGGAATTATTACAATTCAGCCAGTGAGGAATCTAGTCCCAGGGCCCAGAAATTCTGAATGATGGGGTAAAAAAGAATTGAATATTACTGACAGATAATTTTGCTTCCTGATCTAAATGACCACTGTTATAATTTCATTGGGTGCTATATAGTTTGCTTGTTCCTCTAATTTTATTATTTTTGTTTTAGTTGACACATGAAAATTAGAAATCTATGTGGGATGAATACCATGTGATGTTCCCAGGCACTAACACGTAGTACTTGTCTAAACCAAGGGAGGACTTTCCAGCCATCTCCATCTTTTTCCAGTGTTACAGTCTACATCAGAATATTTTTACACAAAGTAATTCCTCTTTGTGATTTTTGTAAGACTTAATCTTTAATAAACATGCACAGTGATGGGTTTCTTTTTGTTTTTATTTATTTATTTTTTTTACAAATGTTATTGTACTGTGCTATTAACTATGCACCATCTACTCTAGCCAACCAGATTGTCTCTTTCACTCTTTTGCCAGTCTCCCTGGTCTCCCCCCCCCCATCCCAACTCCCTACCACTTCTAAGTCTTCAGTCCTATTTCATTGATCTCAGTTTCTATTTGAGTTCCAGTACCACTCTGTTTTGGGTACTGTGGTTCTGTGGCACAATTTAGAATCAGGTTTGAAGATATCTCTATTATTCTTGCTCAGCATTGCTTTGGCTATCTGCAGTTTCATATGCTTACACACACATCTTAAGAACTTTTCTATTTCTGTGAAGAATGTCACTGAAATTGTGATGACTGCACTGAATCCATAGATTGTTTTGGGTAGTACAACTATTTCCACAATATTAATGCTTCCAATCACTGAGCATGATGAGCTGCCTTTCCAATTTCTAGTGTCTTCTTCAATTTCTTTTATTAGTGTTTCCAAATTTTCCTTGTTGAGGTTTTTCACTTTCTTGATTAGGTTTTTCCAATGTATTTTATAAATTTATTTTTAGCCAATTGTGAATGGCATTGTTTCCCCAAACATGTCATTGATATTAAGAACAGCAACTGATTTTTGTTGGTTAATTTTGTATCCTAAAAGTGTTTATCAGATCTAAGAGTTTTCAGTTGGAGTCTTGGGGTCCTGACTTAATAGAATCCTCTCACCTGCACATAAGGATAATTTGACTTCCTTTCCCATTTGTATCCCTTATTTCCTGCTCTCGTCTTATTGCTCCAGTTCATACTTCAAGCCCAATATTGGATATACTTTTCTCATTCCTGATTATAGTCAAAATGCTTTGGGTTTTATCCATTTAGTATAACGTTGGCTGTAGGCTTGTCACATATTAATTTTACTGTAATGAGTCATGCTCTTCATAGTTCTAGTTTTTTCATTCTTATCAACATAAAGTGATTTTGAGTTTTGCTATGAATCTTTCTGCATCTGTATTACACATCTATTTGTGTAATGTATTATATTTATTGATTTGATAAACTGAACAATCTGTACCTCTGTGATGAAGTCATCTTGATCATGGTAAAGGTTTTTCTTTCAAGACAGGATCTTTCTATATATCCCTGACTGTTCTGAAATTCCTTATGTAGACCAGGCTGGCCTTAAACTCACAGAGATCCATCTGTTTTTTGCCTCCTAAGTGCTGGGATTAAAGATGTACACCCCAATGCCCAGCCCAGTAAGTGGTATTTCTAATGTAGTCTTTCACTTGATTTCTAAGCATTTTACTTAGAATTTTTGTATCTGTGTTTTTCAGGGTAGTTAGTTTATAATTTTCTTTTTCATTGTATATGTGTTTTCTGGCTTGGGTACCAGGTTAATGCTGGCTTTGTGAAAAAGAATTGGGTAGCATTCCTTCATTTTCTCTTTTAGAGAATAGTTTGAGAAGCATCAGCATTGGTTCTTTTTAAATGGTTTGGTAGTTTCAGTAGACTCTGGACATTTTTAGTTAAAAATCACAGACACAGATTATTGACAAAAATGCCAAAAATACACATTGGAGAAAAGACCACACAAATGGATAATGACTTAATGACTTAAAACTTTGACATTATTGGAGGAAAAAGTACAGAAAGCACTTCAAGACAAAAGCATAGTCAAAGAATTTATGAAGAAAGAGTCCAGTCACCCAAGAAATAACACCAGCAACCGATAAATGAGACCTCATTGTAGCTAGAGTTTTCCTGCCTGGCCCACAGTCAGGACAAATCTCTCTCACCTGCCAGTCCCACAGCCGCTCAGACCCGACCAAGTAAACACAGAGACTTGTTACAACTGTATGGCCATGGCAGGCTTCTTGCTAACTTTTCTTACAGCTTAAATTAATCCATTTCTATAAATCTATACCTTGCCACATGGCTCGTGGCTTACCAGCATCTTCACATGCTGTTTCTCATCATGGCAGCTGGCAGTGTCTCTCTGACTCAGCCTTCCATTTCCCAGCTTTATTCTCCTCCTTGTCCCGCCTACACTTCCTGCCTAGCCAATGGCCAAACTGTTTTATTTTTTTATTTTTTTATTTTTTTTCAAGACAGGGTTTCTCTGTGTAGCTTTGCGCCTTTCCTGGAACTCACTTGGTAGTCCAGGCTGGCCTCGAACTCACAGAGATCCACCTGCCTCTGCCTCCCGAGTGCTGGGATTAAAGGCGTGCGCCACCACCGCCCAGCCAGTGTTTTATTTATGGACCAATCAGCAACACATTTGCCCTACAGAACATCCCACAGCACCTCATGATAGTCAAAAGCTTCTGTACAGCAGAGTTGAGTGAAAAGTCATCCTTCAGAATTGGTGATAATTTTTATTAGTTGTAGGTCTATCAGCCCAGTCAATGAAGTAGCTAATGAAATGAATGTTTTTTTAAAAAATAAAATACAAATGGCCAATAAGCATATGGAAATGTATTCAATCTCCAGCTATCAGAGCAATGAAAAATAAAACTACATGGGGATTCCCATCAGTCAGTCAGAAAGGAAGTTGTTTGGAAAAGAAATAACAAGTGCTGGTGATTATGTGTTTAGAAAGGAGCACCACTGAAGGGACACCACTGAAGGGAGCACCACTGAATGGACATCACTGAAGGGAGCGCCACTGAATGGACACCACTGAAGGGAGCACCACTGAATGGACATCACTGAAGGGAGCGCCACTGAATGGACAACACTGAAGGGAGCACCACTGAAAGGACAACACTGAAGGTACACCACTGAAGGGAGCAGCACTGAAGGGACAACACTGAATGGAGCACCACTGAATGGAGCACCACTGAAAGGAGCACCACTGAATGGAGCACCACTGAAGGGACACCACTGACAGGAGCACCACTGACAGGAGCACCACTGAATGGAGCACCACTGAAGGGACACCACTGAAAGGAGCACCACTGAATGGAGTACCACTGAATGGAGTACCACTGAATGGAGCATCACTGAATGGACACCACTGAAGGGAGCACCACTGAAGGGACACTACTCCAGCCATTAGAGAATTCAATGTGGAGGTCAAACAAAATCTAGGACTGGATCTACCACATGACCCAGCTATACCTCTTCGGGGTGTTGACCCAGAAGACTCCAAGTCAACAAATCACAGAGATAGCTGCTCAGCAATGCTTATTGCAGCATTATTCACAACAGCTAAGTTATGGAAACAACCTGAGTTGCTGTTTCAACAACAGAACAACAGTTCAAGAAAATGTCAAATTCCACATAAAGGAACTTTTTAAACTATATAGAAGAATTCAGTTATGCCAATTGTGAGGCAATAAGTAAACTAAGCTAGTCTCAGAAAGATAAATACATTTTCTCTTATTGTTTCTTTTATTTTATGTTGCTGTAGGATAATCCTCTTGTACACTGTAAAGATCTGTCACCTGAATTGGTTTAATAAAACTCTGATTGGCCAGTAGCCAGGCAGGAAGGACAGGTGGGACAACCAAATTAAGGATGATGGGAAGGAGAAGGGCAGAGTCAGGAGTTGCCAGCCAGAAGCAGAGGGAGCAGGCAGGGAAGTAGAAGAAAAACTGTAAGGGGGCAAAGAAGTTCTGTGGGATTGTGGGGCAGGATTGGTGTAGGGGGGAAAATTGTCAGTGTCCAGTATATGTTCATATGAATTGTGTAATATCATTGTGATATCAGTGACATACATAATCAATATACAATGAAAAAAATTTTAATTAAAGATTTAGAAGAGTTCTGCCTTCTGTTTTAAAAAAATACATACTTTTTTTTTTTTTTTTTATGAGACAGGGCCTCCTTCTGTAGTCCTGGATTTTGCTGTGTACCCTAGGTTGGTCTCAAACTCAGGTCAATCTTCCTGCCTCAGTCTCCTGAGTCTTGAAATTCCAGATGTGTAACATCGTTCCTGACTCCCAAATACCTTCTTATGCTTTATTCAGTTCCATTCAAAGCTTTTGTTTCATGCCAGTTATGCAGAAGGGATAGAATTCATTCATTACTTCTTAATATAAAGAAAATGCAGTGATGCAGAAAATATAATCTATTGAAATGTTGGTTGCTATAGAATTCTGCAGTCAAGGCTCATGCAGAGTGATCTCTAAGTCCTGTGGTGTTGTGTTTCTTTCTCTCTGGCTTTAAAATGTGTATGTAGTTCAGCTCAGGCACTCTCTCAACCACTGCCAGTAGTCTATAATGGAGGTATCTTTGTGGATTTCTGGGGACCTCTCTAGCACTCTGCTTCTTCCTTTTCTCCTGGGGTCTTCATTTATCATGGTATCTCTTTCCTTGTTCTCCCACTCTGTTCCTGATGCAACTGGGACCTTCCGCTCCCCTAAGCTTGCTTTCCCCCGACCCTTGCCCTCCATTACCTACCTCACCCCCAGTTTGCTCATGTAGAACTCATCCATTTCTCTGTCGCTGGGTGATCCCTGTGTCTTTCTTAGGGTCCTCTTTATTAGGTAGCCTCCCTGGAGTTATGAGTTGCAGTCTGGTTATCCTTTGCTTTACATCTAGTATTCACTTATGAGTGACCTACTCTGCTGATCTGATGGTCGAACACCCTGTCATGATAGAACTCTCATCCAGTGACTGGTGGAAGCAGATGCAGAGATCCATGGCCAAACCCCAGGTGGAGCTCCAGGAGTCCAACCAGAAAGACAGAGGATCCCTATATGAGCAAGAGATATCGAGACCATGATTGGAAAAAGCACAGGGACAACTAGCCAAACTAGCGGAAACACATGAACTGTGAACCAATAGCTGAGGAGCCCCCATGGAACTGGACCAGGCCCTCTGGATAAGTGAGACAGTCGATGAGCTTGAACTGTTTAGGAGGCCCCCAGACAGTGGGACTAGAACCTGTCCTTGATGCATGAACTGGCTTTTTGGAACCTAGTGCCTATGCTGAGACACTTTGCTCAGCCTTGGTGCAGGGAGGAGAGGACTAGACCTGCCTCAACTGAATCTACCAGGCTGGGCTGAATCCCCATGGGAGACCTTGCCTTGGAGGAGGTGGGAATGGGGGGTAAATTGGGGGGCAAGACTGGGGGTGGGAGGAGGGAGGACAGGGGAATCCGTAGCTGATATGTAAAATTAAATTAATTATAAAATAAAAATACTTATTAGAAAAAAAATTAAAAATGTGTATGTATTGCTCCAGATTTGGGAACATTACTTAACTACAGATAGCACCAAATTCAAAGCCAGCTTCCTCTTGGCCTTTTGTGAAACTGCATTCACTCCCTGGGCATTTATTTTTTAACTTTTTAAATTTGAGACAGGGTGTTACTTTAAATTCACCTTGCGTGGTAGCACACGCCTTTAATCTCAGCACTTGGGAAGCAGAGGCAGGCGGATCTCTGCCAGCCTGGTCTACAGAGTGAGTTCCAGGACAGACTCCAAAACTACACAGAGAAACCCTGTCTCGAAAAGCCAAATAAATAAATAAATAAATAAATAAATAAATAAATAAATAAATAAATAAATAAATTCACCTTGCAGCCCAGAACTACACAGAGAAACCCTGTCTCGAAAAGCCAAATAAATAAATAAATAAATAAATAAATAAATAAATAAATAAATAAATAAATTCACCTTGCAGCCCACACTGGCCTTGAACTTTCACCGTGTTGTCTTAGCCTCCATCATAGATGTGATTACACACCTGCTCAACCAGGAAAGATTCAGCTCTGGTTTGCTTATTTGACACAGGGTCTCACTCGGCAGGTCAGGCTGCCATCGGAATCACTCTGTAGCCCAGACTGGCCTCCAGTTTGTGGCAAGTCTCCTTGCCTCAGCCTCTCAAGTTCTGGGATTAGAGGAAAGAGTCACCATGCCTGGCTGCACAAATTTTTTTGTTATCTACAGTCTAAACCCCAAGGGCATTTTGGTTGAGTGACTTCCAGTAAGCTAGCTTTCTAGAAAGTAGCTGATACAAAGTAAAACTGAGAAAGGTGTAACTAGACTTGGACAAACTAAGACATTACTGAGCCTGTGAAGTGGCTCAGCAGAGCAGGCACTTCTAGTGCAAGCCTGGGGAACTGAGCTTGACCTTGGACCGCACATAGGGGAGAAAAGAGAGCTGACTTTACAAAGCTGTCCTCTGACCTCTACATTCAAGGCATGGCATGCAACTCACACATAAAATATCAATAAAGAGCTGGGCGGTGGGGGCTCACACCTTTGATCCCAGCATTCAGGAGGCAGAGGCAGGTGGATCTCGGTGAGTTCTAGATCAGCCTGGTCTACAGAGTGAGTTCCAGGACAGCCAGGACTTTGTATAGAGAGCTTGTCTTAACAAAACAAAGACTAAAATACTTGTAATAGTAGATGCAGGGAAACTTAGCTTATTAGAAAACTTACTCTAAACAACCTGAAGATACAGCCTAGTCTGGGGATGGAGCTCTGTGATAGAAAATGTATGTGATGATAAATATTGATGGTCAACTTGAGATCTGGAATCCCCTGGAGACAAGCCTCTAGGCATACTTTCAAGAGTTTATTTAGATTAGATTAATTATCTAGGTTAGGGATGTCCCACCTTAACTGAGGGGATAACCATTTCCTAAACTTAATACAATAAAGAATGTCCTGAGTACTAGCATTCACCATTCTTGCTGTCTGTCTGTCTGTCTTTGGATATAATGTGACCAGCTGCCTGAACCTGCTGCCACTGTGGCTTATCTTCATGAAGGATTATTCCTTTGAACTTTAGGCCAAAATAAATCTTTTCTCCATCAAATAACGTATGTCAGGTTTTTGTCGCATTAATGTCTAAAGTAACTAATGCAACACAAGCACACATGACTATAACCATTGGTGCATTCTGAAACTAGTAAAAATTATGAATCAACACTTAATTATAACACTGTATGGCAATAACTTAACACAATTAAAATATTTTCAGTAAAAGAAAATAACATTCGAATAGAGGAAATTAACAATAGCTTGTAAAAAATTGATCATAGACTTAAGTATGCTAACTGGATTTACTCTAGCTTTTCAGTAAAAAAAAAAGTATCTAGACTTCAGTGTTAGGACTCAGGAAATATTTATCCATAAAAATTGTGGTGGGGAATCATCAGAGTCAAAATATTTATGTCCCCTAAAGTTTCTAATGCAAAATCTACTTAGGAAGTGCATTGAGTTAAGGGTAATTAATATCTGTCCTACCTACTGACTCAGGTTCCTTATAGGAATCATATGAGGCCCAAATTAGTGGTATAGCTGGGTCTTGAGGTAGATTGATTCCCAGTTTTCTGAAACTACCATACTGATTTCCACAGTGGCTGTACCAGCATTATTTGTAATAGCCAGAACCTGGAAACAACCTATATGTCCTTCAACTGAAGAATGGATTAAGAAAATGTCATACATGCTGGGCAGTGGTGTTGCACGCTTTTAATCTCAGCACTTGGGAGGCAGAGGCAAGCTGATCTCTGTGAGTTCAAGGCCAGCCTGGTCTACAGAGTGAGATCCAGGACAGGCACCAAACTACACAGAGAAATTGTGTCTCGAAAAACCACAAAAAAAAAGAAAGAAAGAAAAAAAGAAAGAAAATGTGGTACATATATACAATGGAGTACTACTCAGCAGAGAAAAACAATGACATCATGACATTTGCAGGCAAATGGATGGAACTAGAAAATATCCTGAGTGAGGTAATCCAGTCTCAGAAGGACAAACATGGTATGTACTCACTCATAAGTGGATACTAGATGTAAAGCAAAGGATAATCAGACAACAACCCACAACTCCAGAGAAACTAACTAACAGGAAAGACCCAAAGAGGGACGCATGGACCGCCCTGGGAAGAGGAAATAGATGAGATCTCCATGAGTAAACTGCAGATGAGGGGTGGGCAATGGAGGGTAGGGATGGGGGATGAGAAATAAGGGAATGGGATGGTTGAGCTGGAACAGGGAGGGAGGGGGAGAGCAATGAAAGAGATTCCATGATGGAGGGAGATACATGGAGATAGAAACCCAGTGCTAGGGATGTTGCCAGGAATCCCCAAGGATAACCCCAGCCTGGACTACTAGCAATAGTGAAGGGGGTGCCTGAACTGAACTGGCTCACCCCAGTGATCAGACAGGTGAATACCCTAACTTCATCACAGAGCTTTTCTCTAATGACTGACAGAAGCAGATGCAGATCCATAGCCAATCACTAGGACAGAGCTCCAGGAGTCCAGTCAAAGAGAGAGAAGAGGGATTCTATGAGCAAGTGCATCAGGACCATGATGGGAAAACCTGCAGAGACGATCAAACCAAACTAGTGGGAACTCATGAAAGTTGGATCAATGGCTGTGGAGCCTGCATGGGAATGGACTAGGACCTCTGCATGGCAAGACAGTTGTGTAGCTTGATCTGCTTGGGGGGCCCCCTGGCGGTGTGATCAGAATCCATCCCTGGTGCATGAATAGGCTTTTTGGAGCTCACTACCTAGGATGGGACACCTCATGCGGCCTGGAGGCAGGGAGAGGGGCTTTGACTTGCCTCTTCTGGATGTGTCTCCCCATGGGAGGCCTTGCCTTCTTGTGGGGGAGAGTGGGAGGTAGGTTGGGAGAGGGAGGATGGGGAGGCTGGGAGGAGGGAAGAAAGAGGGGAATCTTTGATTGGTGTGTAAAATGAATGAAAAAATTTGCTTAATTAAAAAAAATAAATAAAATAAAAAATCTGACCTAAAAAAAAATTGAGGCCAAAATTGTAATGGTAAAACTAAACAGCACTTATCGTTTTGAACTTGTGTACATTTTTCATTGAATAAGTGTCTGGTATAAACTACAGCATTTTCTCAAATTGGAAAACTCTCTCTCTCTCTGGGACTCCCCTTTCTAGCATCACAGATCTAAAACTAATTTGGAACTTAAGGGCAGAGAGCTCAGAGTTTCCTTTGATTTCTTCTGCATCAAAATCACAGAAACCAAATAGAGTCTGCCAGTCAAGAAGCCCATGAGTGTAACAAGCGACTGGTGTCTCTCCTCAGGTGCTATTCCTGTAGAGCTTTATTTTATATTTTATTTTATTCACTTTATAAAGTAGTGACATTTCTGTGGAACTTGCAGAAAATGTTTCCTTTTTAACAACTGAAATTCTGTTCTATAGTCAATAAAGTTATTTTAAAGAGTTTTTTAAAGTTTTGAGTAGCCATGAAAATTTACAGAAAAAAAAAAAGAAAAAATAACTAAAAAAATAATTTGAAAAAAGTGGTACACTTCTTATTTCTCTGGACTTTTTTGATGTGTTATGCTATTAAAATATGGCATGCAAATATTGTTTTCTTTTTAAAGAAACTTTCGTGAAGATATTCGAATGTTGTTCATTGGACATTGCTTCTTGGGCCAAGCTAGCAATTCAATGAGCCATTGAATGAGTGTCACTGTGGTTATGTGGTTTGATCTTCTGCTATATAATAAACCTCCAAATTTTAAATAAATGAGTGTGATTAATTGAAAGTTCTAAACAGCAGTAACCCAAGGGCAAAGGAGATGGAACAAAGAGTTGCCCCACACTTTACACTGCAGGCAGTTCAGATGACATTTAAGATGTAACCAAGGAGCCACTAAATTCTAGTGACCACAACCTAGCCGTAGGAGCCCTTTCATTTTCAGTGGCACTGCAATAAAATGATGTAGCTTCAGCTGAAAAGATTTTCTGCCCAGGATAATTGTTGAAGGCATTAGGATCCATTTCATGATAAATAATGTTTTCTTTTTCTTAAATGCTTTTTGCATATCAGTACAGTTTACATGTTAAATAACACAACAATAGAGTGATTCAATATAGTTTTAAACAGAAGGAGAAAAGGGAAAAAATTTCAGGTTACAGAATCTCACCATTTAAAACAAATTAAAGCAAGCAAATGATTTTTCTAAGTGTGTTCATGCAGTGACTAGTCACGCCTAATTCTTACTACACTAGTGGCAGGTGAAATTAAAAAGGAAGCCCAAGTTATATAATCACTGCCTCAAGGGAATAACACATGCTGGGCGTTTCAGAAG